GCTGTGTACCGCCTAGACTTCCTTGCGAGTCTTGTCTCTGACCCTGACCCTGCCTGTCCTCCGTCCGTCGGGGGTGAGACTGCCCTTGGCTGTACTGCCCTTGGCTGTGACGTTCTTGAGGACAGACAGGAGGAGCTTGAGTGCCTTGAGGCCGCTTCACCCCATCACGCGACCATGCTGCTTGCCCCTGAGGGAGACCCGGATGCACTTGACATCCCCACCCCGCGCTCCTACAGGGAGGCGATTTCGGGTGAGTACTTCTCTCTGTGGCAGACAGCCATGGACGCAGAGATGGCTTCCTGGAAGTCCACAGGCACCTACGTCGACGAGGTTCCCCCACCTGGGGCGAACATCGTCAGTGGCATGTGGATTTTCAGGGTGAAGCGGCCGCCGGGTTCTCCGCCTGCCTTCAAGGCATGTTACGTTGCTCGAGGCTTCAGTTAGCGTGAGGGGGTCGACTTCTTTCAGACCTTCTCCCTCAACCCGAAGATGACCACTCTTCGGGTGTTGCTACACGTTGCAGCTCAGCGTGACTACAAGCTGCACTCCCTCGACTTCTCGACAGCTTTCATGCAGGGTAGCCTTCACGAGGCCATCTGGTTGCGCCGTCCACAAGGCTTCACTGGGTCATTTCCTGAGGGTACCCAGTGGAGCCTACGGCGAACAGCGTCTGCGTCAGGCGCCTCGCGAGTGGCACGACACACTAAGGACGACACTTGCGGCTCTTGGGTTTGCTCCTTCGACTGCTGACCCGTCGCTGTTTCTACGCACGGACACTACTCTGCCGCCGTTCTACATCCTCGTGTACGTCGACGACTTGGTTTTTGCTACTGCTGACACTGAGGCACTGGCCCTAGTGAAGGCGGAGCTGCAGGAGAGACACACCTGCACTGACCTGGGTGAGCTACGGAGCTATCTTGGCTTGCAGATCACCCGGGACAGACCACGGCGCACCGTCACCCTCACTCAGTCACACATGGTGCACCAGGTCCTTCAGCGCTTCCGCTTCATGTACTCCTCGCCACAGCCCACTCCTCTGGCTACCGGCCACTCGCTCTCAGCTCCACCTTCGGACGAGTCCGTAGAGCTGAGTGGTCCGTACCCAGAGCTTGTGGGTTGCCTCATGTACCTGATGACGTGCACACGACCTGACCTCGTGTACCCTCTCAACCTCTTGGCTCGCTACGTGGCACCTGGTCGACACCGAAAGGTGCACTTTGATGCTGCGAAGAGGGTACTGCGTTACTTGTGCAGCACATCGGGCATGGGGCTCGTGCTTGGAGGACGGGGTTCAGTGGTCCTCACAGGACACTCTGACGCTTCTTGGGCCGACGACCAGGCGACTCAGCGTTCGTCACAGGGCTACACCTTCAGTCTTGGCGCTGGTTCTGTCTCGTGGAGGTCCACTCGTTCTTCTTCTGTGCTTGGTTCCAGTTGTGAGGCCGAGATCTACGCTGGGGCCATGGCTGCACAGGAGCTCCGCTGGCTGACCTACCTGCTGACCGACTTGGGGGAGCGGCCTCGTTCTCCTCCAGTTCTGTACGTCGACATCAAGGCAATGTTTGCCTTGTGTCGCGAGCCGAGACTGGAGCACCGAACGAAGCACATTTCTCTTCGCTACTTCCTTGCGCGTGAGCTGCAGCAGCGTGGTCAGCTGTGCCTTGCTTTCGTGGCCTCTCGGGCCAACACTGCTGATGTCTTCACCAAGGCCCTTGGGGCTGGTGATCATCAGCGTTTCTGCACTGCTCTTGGGCTTGTGCCCAGTCTGCCTCACCTGCTGGTTGCTTGACTTGCTCTTGTTGTACACTAATATATATCTTTATACCTGCTTGTTTACTCTTTCTAGGTTGTGATCAGTGTACTGCCTTCCTATTATAACTCTGCATGTGAACTGGCCTTGTGGCCACTTGCTTGTGCTCAGATTGTGTGGTGTCCTTGAGATCCACCCTGAGCTTTGCTTTGCTTGTTCTCTTGCTTGACTGGTCTTGTGACCGTCTGTTGTGTTTGCTATCTCCCACTTAGCCTATGGAGGTGTGTCAAACTGTATGTTTGTGTTATCTCTAGGCTATAGTGGGTTAGCCTACAAGGGGTACAACACTTTAGGGTTAGGTACTTGTACTCATGCATGCTACCTAGTCCATCATTCCTGCCTGGTTATTCTAACAATTACAACACTCCTACTCAGAGTTAAGCCTTGAAGGATCCTAAGGGCTTTTCTCAGCCCAACGGTCTTGATGTAGAACTAACGCAGCTGTGAGCGAATGAACCGAAATCCCAGCACCTAAGAATGGTTTCCTTAGGGCGTGTCAGATCCGCTAAAAGCTGTTCTGGCTGGTTATTAGTCGACCATATTGTCGACAAAATCTTTCGCGAAAGCCGACTACGTGGTCAACTTCGTAGTCGACCACCCATCAGCCACATCTTCAAAACAGACACATTTGGCGGTCGATTTACAGGGATGTGTGAGATTTGCAGTTGAAGTTTTGGCCGGATTGTGCGATATTGTCGCATGTTTGTCAATGATTGGTTCTTTCGTAGTTACCATGTGCCGTTTTATCGCACGCGTGAGCATGCGAAGTCGCATGGTCATTGTAGCTCAGCCTGGTCGACTTTCGAGTCGACTGCACGTCGGATTGTTGTCGACTCTTGAAACGGCCAACTGATCTGACAACAAGTGGCCGGATGTGGCGAGGTAGCCGAAATTTGCAAACGAACGTCGCAACATCGTTACTTTCGCGAAATCCGACCAGTCGGATTAGCGCGAAAACGGATCTGACACACCCTTAGTCCGGATGGGCCTGGCATCTGCACATTTTTATGTTTTGTCTTCCTTCATCACTGAGGACGCGTCAACTCCCAGCACTTTGACACGATCGATCCTACGTAGGATCGATGTGCCATATATACAGTACTGTCACGACGTAGCGAAATATTTGGTTGCCCATTTTCGCCACGTTTCGCCAATGTACAGTAAATCGGCTAGCACTTTTCTGTCCCTTCTGGATCTCTAGACACATTTCCACCTGCCACACACCAATCGTGACATTTAGGTGAGCGGGAGCTACAATCGCGCGCTAGTTGACAGCCGCGATCGATCGGAGTCGCACATGGCTGGCAACGACACATGGCAGAGTCGCAGCGACGACAAATCCTGCCACCCGCCAAAGTCAAACCCGCCCGCGTGGATTTGCGACGCCCTGCGAAGGCGGATTTGCGACGCCCTGCGAAGGCGGATTTGCGACGCCCTGCGAAGGCGGATTTGCGACGCCCTGCGAAGGCGGATTTGCGACGCCCTGCGAAGGCGGATTTGCGACGCCCTGCGAAGGCGGATTTGCGACGCCCTGCGAAGGCGGATTTGCGACGCCCTGCGAAGGCGGATTTGCGACGCCCTGCGAAGGCGGATTTGCGACGCCCTGCGAAAGCGGATTTGCAGCTTGCAGCAAGCCAACCCACCACACAGATCCTGCAAATTTACCCTAGTCAAGTGGGGCTCGATGGTAGGAGTACACTGCCGTATCTCTCAGCGGAAATGGGTCGTCAAGCCTGACGACCTGTGACGACCTGACGACCTGTGACGACCTGACGACCTGTGACGACCTGTGACGACCTGACGACCTGTGACGACCTGACGACCTGTGACGACCTGTGACGACCTGTGACGACCTGTGACGACCTGTGACGACCTGACGACCTGTGACGACCTGTGACGACCTGTGACGACCTGTGACGACCTGTGACGACCTGTGACGACCTGACGACCTGTGACGACCTGACGACCTGTGACGACCTGACGACCTGTGACGACCTGACGACCTGTGACGACCTGACGACCTGTGACGACCTGACGACCTGTGACGACCTGACGACCTGCGACGACCTGACGACCTGTGACGACCTGACGACCTGTGACGACCTGACGACCTGTGACGACCTGACGACCTGTGACGACCTGACGACCTGTGACGACCTGACGACCTGTGACGACCTGACGACCTGTGACGACCTGACGACCTGTGACGACCTGACGACCTGTGACGACCTGACGACCTGTGACGACCTGACGACCTGTGACGACCTGACGACCTGTGACGACCTGACGACCTGTGACGACCTGACGACCTGTGACGACCTGACGACCTGACGACCTGTGACGACCTGACGACCTCTGACGACCTGACGACCTCTGACGACCTGTGACGACCTGACGACCTGTGACGACCTGACGACCTGTGACGACCTGACGACCTGTGACGACCTGACGACCTGTGACGACCTGACGACCTGTGACGACCTGACGACCTGTGACGACCTGACGACCTGTGACGACCTGACGACCTGTGACGACCTGACGACCTGTGACGACCTGACGACCTGTGACGACCTGGCGACCTGTGACGACCTGACGACCTGTGACGACCTGTGACGACCTGACGACCTGTGACGACCTGTGACGACCTGACGACCTGTGACGACCTGTGACGACCTGACGACCTGTGACGACCTGTGACGACCTGACGACCTGTGACGACCTGCTGCCCCGGGCAGAAAAAACTAAAACCCTATCGGATGGAGTCATCCGAGGGAGGCATCAACCCTAAATCCATGCCGGGTTGATGCCTCCCTGACCGGATGCATGCCCGACTGGGGTTTATTGTTTTTGCCCGCGGGCAGCGAGCTCCCCCGGGCGACGACCTGAACGCGCTGAGATATATTCAGCCAATTTGCAGGTGTAGCACACCGGTGTGCACTGCCGATCTTGCCTCGATCCTGCGAAGTTGCTGGGAGTCGACGCGCCCTGAAATCCTGAAATGCGATACTGGCAGAAAGCAACAAAACATCGTCAACAGGAGCCACCCGGGTTTGAACCGGGGACCTATCGATCTGCAGTCGATTGCTCTACCACTGAGCTATAGCTCCATGATACGGTAAGAGACGGTAATTTATTAAGAAAGTTAAATAAAGCTCTCCACTCCACATTTCTCTTTCTGCTGCTCACAACCATGGCGCATCAGCTTCGGCGATCCGAGCGGCTGCTGGCCGTCCGATCCGCCGCTCGCATCTTTCTCCAAATCCCGTTGCCTCCCAGCATCACCCCCGCGTCGCCCGCCGTTCCAACCCATCTTCCCCACGCCCTTCGCCCGATCGTAGGCGACCTTTGCCACGTGGAAGGTAGCGGGCAGGCCAGATTGATCCAATCCCGTCCCGTCCAATGGGGCGTCGACAGGTGTCGCCCTATTCCGACACCCCCCTCCGCCGCGTTTGCGCCATTCCGCCGTTTGATCCCTGATCCGCGTGCGCCTGCGGGTAGCAAGCGCAGTTTTTCCGCCGCCACATCTCCCCCGATCCCGCCGAACTCCGCTCCGAGCGTTGGCGGAAGCATTGGCGGAAGTACTGGCGGAGCGGGCGGGCGGAAGGGTGGGCGGGGATTGGTGGGCGTGATCACGGCTGCCGCCATAGCGGGAGCGGCGGGGGGCGCGTATTATTGGTGGGAGACAGAAGCAGCGAGATTCGGACCCGGTCCCGTTATAATCACACCCGATACGAAAGTTGGCTCGGAAGAAGAAGTTAGTATATCGAGTCCCGCGGCAGACTTGGGGACTGGGGGAGGGAGGGCTGGAGACACCATAACGGAGCAGAGGGGCATAGAGGAGGGGAAGGAGGGGGAAGGAAATGAGGGGAAGGATGGGGGAGGAGAGGAGGGGAAGGATGGGGGAGTAGAAATTGAAAGGGAGGAGAGAGAAGCGGAGGGGAAGGAGGAAGCGGGAGGCGGAAGGAGGGAGGGAGAGGAGGGTGCGAGAGAAGGGGGAAGTGTGAAGGGGTCAGAAGGTTCAGTAAAGGGGGAGATTGGGGTGGAGGGGGAAGATAAGGAGGAGTTAAAGCGAAGGAAAAAGGAGGAGAAGAGGAGGGAGAAGGAATTGAAGAAGAAGGAAAAGGAGGAGAGGAAGGCGAAGGAGGTGAAGGAGGGAGAGGAGGATGAGAATGGAGGAGAGGGAGGTAAGGATGATGGTGGGGATGAGGAAAAGAAGAGGAGGAAGGAGGAGAAAAAGCGCCTTAAGAAGCTGAAAAAGGAGGAGGAAGAGAAAAAGAAAGGAGAAGCAGAGGAAAAGGGGAAGGGGAAGGAGGGGGAGGAGGAAGGAGAAATGTCGAAGGAGGAAAAGAAGCGACTGAAGAAGTTAAAGAAAGAGGAGGAGAAGGAAGAGAAGAAGAAGAAGAAGGAAGGAAGAAAAAAGAGGGAAGGGGAGGAGAAGGGGAAGGAGGAAGAGGAGGGGGAGACGGAAGGAGAGAAGGGGAAGGCATGGGACGAAAGCGAAGATCACAGCAAGGTGGAGGGAGCAGCTGACGTGGCCGCTGACGTGGCAGCTGATGTGGCAGTTGGTGTGGCAGCTGAGGTGGTGAGGATCGAGTCAGCAGCCAGGAATGCGGAGGCGGAGAGGGGAAGGAGGGAGAGGGAGCGACAGCTGGCAGCGATGCAGGTGAGAGGGAGGAGGGAGAGGAGGGAGGGAGGTTTGGGAGGAGGGGAGGGGGGGCGAGGGGGGGGAGGGAGGGGGGGAGGGAGGGGGGAAGGGAAGGAGGGAGTTTAACTGGTTTAAGAGGGAGAGGGAGGGATTTTCTGCGGTTTCCTAGACTATCCACTATCCGCTATCCCCTATCCGCTATCCGCTATTTGGTATCCGCTATTAGGTATCCGCTATTTGGTATCCGCTATTTGGTATCCGCTATTTGGTATCCGCTATTTGGTATCCGCTATGTGGTATCCGCTATTTGGTTTCCGCTATTTGGTATTTCCTATTTGGTAACCGCTTTTTGGTAACCGCTATTTGGTATCCGCTATTTGGTATCCGCTATGTGGTATCCGCTATTTGGTATCCGCTATTTGGTATCCGCTATTTGGTATCCGCTATTTGGTATGCGCTATTTGGTATGCGCTATTTGGTATGCGCTATTTGGTATGCGTTATTTGGTATCCGCTATTTGGTATCGGCTATCCACTATACACTATCCACTCTTTATGTATACACCAACCCTACGTCTCTTCTCGCCTGCCCTTTCTTTCCTCTCTACCTTCTTCTGTGAATGAAACCCCCTCCGCCCTCCTCCCCCTTCCTCCCCCAACGCCCTCCTCCCTCCCCCCTCACGCACAGAGTGTCCACGTGGCAGAACAGGATTCGCTGGCAGCGGCGGTGCGAGAGAAGGAGAGGGAGGGGGAGGTGGAGCGGGAACGGATTGAGCAGCAGAGGGAGGAGATGGGGAGGGAGTTGGAGGAATGGGAGGAGGGGGAGGCGAGGAGACAGCAAGAGGAAGAAGAGGAGATGGTGAGTGAGGGGTGGGAGACAATGTGGGGTAGGGGAAGGAAGGTGGGGTTGGTTTAAGGGAAGGGAAGGGAAGGTAAGCTTGGGGTAGGAGGCTGAGCAGCAGAGGGAGGAGATGGGGAGGGAGTTGGAGGAGTGGGAGGAGGGGAGGGGGAGGGGAAGAGGCAGCAGGAGGAAGAGCAGGAGATGGTGAGTGAGGGGTAGAACAAGCATGGAAGTGAGGGGAAGAGGAGGTTAACCTGGGGTAGCAGGCACGCAGGGAGCACCTTTGAGGCGCCTCAAAAGTCACCTCTTTTGAGTCGACTCAACAAGCATGGAAGTGAGGGGAGGAGGAAGAGCACCTGGGGTAGAAGGCACGCAGGGAGCACCGCAGGCAAATATGCAGGCAGCTTTGAGACGTCTAAGAAACTCGCTCTATATTATGGGGTAGCAGGCACGCAGGGAGCACCGCAGGCAAATATGCAGGCAGCTTTGAGACGTCTAAGAAACTCGCTCTATATTATGGGGTAGAAGGCAGAAATGGAGGCAGCAGCCTGCCTTTTGAGGGAGTTACAGCAACTCAGGGGATGGGTATAACTTATGAGACGTCTCAAAACAAGAGGGAGTTACAGCAACTCAGGGGATGGGTATAACTTATGAGACGTCTCAAAACAAGAGAGGGAGTTCTAGCAACTCAGGGGATGGGTATGGGCGGGCGGGAATTGTCCATAGGGTGACTTTTGAGTCGACTCAGAAGGCGCCTCAGAAAGAGAGGGAGTTCTAGCAACTCAGGGAATTGGTATGGGCGGGCGGGAATTGTCTGTAGGGTGTGTGTGAGCGAGTGAACTTATCTTGGTTTGTGAGTCAACTTTTGAGAGGTCTCCCTGCCCCTCTCCCTTCCCTCTCCATGCCCTCCCCATCCGCACCCTCTCCCCGTACCTCCTCCTACCCCTCCCCCCCCTCCAGGCTGTGTCCACCCTGCAAGCAGTGCTGCTGCAGCAGAAGCAGAGGCAGCAGCAGAGGCAGAGGCAGAGTAAAGCTATCCCTGCCCCTCTCCCTTCCCTCTCCATACCCTCCCCATCCGCACCCTCTCCCTGTACCTCCTCCCACCCCTCTCCCCCCTCCAGGCCATATCCACCCTGGAAGCAGTGCTGCTGCAGCAGCTGGCGGCAGCGACAGAGGCAGACGCAGAGAGATATGTTTTGAGTCGACTCAAAACAATCCTGCAGCAGCTGGCGACAGCGACAGAGGCAGAGGCAGAGAGAGGTTCAACCCACCCATTTCTAGGCCCTTCCAACCACCCTTTTGCCACTATCCATTCTATCCTCCCTATCCACTTTAGGCCATATCCACCCTGCAAGCAGTGCTGCAGCAGCAGCTGGCGGCAGCGGCAGAGGCAGAGGCAGAGGCAAAGGAAGCAGCAGAGGCACATGGGGAGCAGACCGCGATGCTGAAAGAAGAGGTCAGTATGAGAGTTGGGGGGAGTGGGGGGGTCATCTCTGCATAGGGGGAGGCAAGTACCGAAGTAGAGGCGAAGGAGGCAGCAGCAGCACATGGGAAGCAGACAGAACTGCTGAAAGAGGAGGTGAGTGTGTTTGGGGGAGGGGAGGATAAAGCTATTAGAGGAGAGGGGCAGGGTGGACGCAGGAGGTGAGTGTGTTTGGGGGAGGGGGAGTGCGGGGATAAGCTCTTAAGGATGCGGATGGTGAACAGCAGCGGCAGAGGCGGAGCCAAAGGGGCAGCAGAGGCACATGGGGAGCAGACCGCGATGCTGAAAGAAGAGGTGAGTGTATTGCAGGGGAGAGGGGGAGGAGTGGGGGATAAGCGTTTATGGGGTGAAACAGCAGCAGAGGCAGTGGCAAAGGAAGCAGCAGAGGCACACATGGAGCAGACAGAGCTGCTGAAAGAGAAGGTGAGTGCATTGCAGGGGAGGAGTGTTGGGAATAAGGGGATGGGGATGATGAAATACAGCAGCAGAGGCAGACGCGAAGGAGGTAGCAGGGGGAACACATGGAGCAGACAGAGCTGCTGAAAGAGGGGGTGAGTGGAGGGGAGGGAGGGAGAGGGGTGATTGATGGGATGAGCACTGTGGGGAAGAGTGGCAGCAGCAGAGGCAGAGGCGAAGGAGGCAGCAGAGGGACACCGGGAGCAAGCAAAGGTGCTAAAAGAGGAGTTAAGTGTACTGGGAGGGTGGGGGAGGGTGGGGGAGGGTGGGGGAGGGAGGGCACGTGTAATGAGGTTATTTTTGAGACGTCTCAAAAGGTGCTTTTCTACACGAGCGGGCAGCAGAGGGACACCTAGAGCAGTCAAAGGTGCTAAAAGAGGAGGTGAGTGTATCGGGAGGGTGGGGGAGGGAGGGGGAGGAGGGGGGTGAGTGGCAGGTTTAGCTGTTAGGGGAGAAGCAGTAGCATCTCTCCGCATCTCTCCGCATCTCTTTGTATCTCTCAGCTCTGAGAGCTGTCTGCTTGCAGCGATCTCAGGAGGGCGGGCTGTGAGCCAGGTCTACTTTTGAGGTAGGCTGGCTGTGAGCCTCAAAAGTAGGTTGTGAGCCAGGCTGTGAGGTAGGCTGTCATGGTGTTGCTGAGTCGATGTGTCTCTCTCCCTGTTGAAATCAGTTTTGAGAAATTTCAAAAGTCTCCTTGTTTTCTTCTCTGCCTTTTCCCCTCTCTCTGTGCGTGTGTGTCCATCTCTGCAGATCTCTGCTCTGAAAGACGTCTTCTTCCATCGCTCGCAGGAGGACCGGCTGTCCTGGCATGCGCACAGAGTGGCTCTGGTGAGATGCAGTGAGATACAGGGCGGTGGAGAGTGGTGTCTTAGGGGTAGGCGTGTGTGTGCCTCTCTGCAGATCTCTGCTCAGAGGGATGTTTTCTTCCAGCAATCTCAGGAGGACAGGTTGTCATGGCATGCGCACCGAGTGGCTCTGGTGAGATGCAGTGCGGTGCAATGTGGTGAGATGGTAGGGTTTTTCATAATCTATGGTACTTCTATGGTACAGAGAAATGAATGGCGACGTTTTGCAGAGCGAAATGCCAAGGTCTTGTGGTATGCTGAGGTCCTTGCATTCAATCCTCTCCACTCTCCTCTCTCCTCTCCACTCTCCTCTCCACTCTCCTCTCTCCTCTCCACTCTCCTCTCTCCTCTCCACTCTCCTCTCTCCTCTCCACTCTCCTCTCTCCTCTCCACTCTCCTCTCTCCTCTCCACTCTCCTCTCTCCTCTCCACTCTCCTCTCTCCCCTCCACTCTCCTCTCTCCTCTCCACTCTCCTCTCTCCTCTCCACTCTCCTCTCTCCTCTCCACTCTCCTCTCTCCTCTCCACTCTCCTCTCTCCTCTCCACTCTCCTCTCTCCTCTCCACTCTCCTCTCTCCTCTCCACTCTCCTCTCTCCTCTCCACTCTCCTCTCTCCTCTCCTCTCTCCTCTCCCCTACCTCCACCCCTCTCACTTCCATTGCCTTCCCTCGTGTACCTTCCCTCGTGTACCTTCCCTCCTCCTTCCCGCTCTCTTCCCATCCCTCCACCCCTCCATCCCTCACTCCCCCTCACCCCTTTCAGGCGGCCATGTCCCTCCACGAAGCAGCAGACAGCAACCAGCCCTTGCCATATCTCTCCATCCCTCACCCCCACTCTCCCCTCTCCCCTCTCCTCCTCCACCATTGCCCTTCTCTTCCCTCACTCCCCTTGTCTTTCTTCCTCTGCTTCTCCCTGCTCCCTTCTCTTCCTCCCCTCCCCCCTATCCAGGCGGCCATATCGCTCCAAGAAGCAGCAGACAGCAACCAGCCGCTGCAACCAATCCTCTCCTCCCTCCACTGCCACTAACTTTTCCATTCCCATTGTCTCTCCTCATGTGTATGATTCTTCTTCCCCCTATCCAGGCAGCCATGTCTCTCCAAGAAGCAGCAGACAGCAACCAGCCGCTGCAACCAATCCTCTCCTCCCTCCACTGCCACTAACTTTTCCATTCCCATTGTCTCTCCTCATGTGTATGATTCTTCTTCCCCCTATCCAGGCAGCCATGTCTCTCCAAGAAGCAGCAGACAGCAACCAGCCTCTGCAGCCGATCCTCTCCTCTCTCCTCCTCCACCCCGCCTCCTCCTCACTCGCTCCCCCTCCCCTCGCCAAAGTCACATCCTCTCAGTCACACCTTCAACCTCCACACTTACAGTCACAATCCGGGACAGAATCGAAATTAGAATCAGAATCAGATTTGAAATCTCAAACGCAGCCATCCCAGGATCCTCTCGTCTCATCCCTCCTGCCACGTGGCGACGACCCATTGGTCGCTGCGATCGCAGCCACCCTGCCCAAATCCGCGCTGTCCAATGGCGTGCTGACACGTCAGCAGCTGCAGGAAAGGCTGGAGGGGATGAGGGCGAGGGTGTGCCAGCTGGCGATGCTGCCGCCGGCCAATGGGGGGGAGAGGGAGGGCGTGGGAGGGGGAACAGGAGGAGGAAGAGGAGGGGGAAGAGGGGGAGAGTTGGTTGAGCCAGGTCTGCTCTCACAAGCAGTGGCAGCGGTTGCAGTTGCTTTAAAGGTAGGCACGAAGACCTGGTTAGAACACTGACTTGAGTGGAAATTTTATAGAGTTACTTTGGGTAAACTTGTCTGAAACGTGTTTTTCTTATTTCGTGGTGTTTTTTTTTTTTTTTTTTTTTTCCCTTAATTGTCTAGCACTTTGTTATTTTGTTTCTTTCCTTAGACTTTTCTACAGCACTCAGAGCCATCCCCACATCTAAACCTTCAGCAGGGCCTTGCAGGGGCGTGGGTTCTGCTGGTGAAGGTTGAAAGGTGCCTCTTTTGAGGTTGAATTTTTTTGACAGCTCCCCGCTGCTCCTCCCCTTCCCATCCATCCTTCCCTCCTCCTGCTCCCAGTACCAAGAACAGCAGGGTAGTCTTCGAGCCCTGAGCAAGCCCTGGCAGAGGCAGCTATTCTGCTGGTGGAGGGTGGAAGGGGCTTGGAAGTATTCTGACAGCTTCCCACTGCTGCTCCCCTTCCCATCTATATTCAACCCCACCACAGATCCCAGTACCAAGCACAGCAGGGGAAGCACCGAGCCCTGAGCAAGCTGTTGGTGATGCTCTGATGCTGCTGCTGGAGGGGCAGCTGGAGGAGGCAGCAGGGACGATAGCAGTCTGACACAGCCTCACTATTCCTCTCCTTCCCCTCTCTCCCCCACAGTTTCCAGTACCAACCACAGCAGGGGAAGCACCGAGCCCTGAGCAAGCCGTTGCCGAAGCGGCAGCTCTGCTGGTGGAGGGGCGATTGGAGGAAGCAGCAGGGGCGATGGAGAGAGGGGTAAAGGGGACACGGGCGGAGGGAGTGGTGGGGAAGTGGGGGGAGGAGGTGAGGGGGAGGGCGGCAGTGGAGCAGGCGGTTAGGGTGATGCAGGCGCATGCAGGGTGCATGGCGGCAGAGCTGCGAAGGTGACAGGATGCAGTTCGCAACGATCCAGTGTGGTACTGTCTGGTCCAGTGTGGTTTGATGTGATTTACTGAGATTTGATGCGGTTCTTAGTGGCTCTGTTGGAGGGAGTTGTGGGGCAGCGGGGGAAGGAGGTGAGGGACAAGTTATACACTGGTGGCCCAGGGTTAACAGTCTATCTCCAATACAAGTACCATTTTTCTACCCGTACAGCACTAGTACATGAGTAAGTATTTGCTCCCTATTTTCCAGCTGGCTCTGGGAAATTAGCGACCTTGGCGAACACATCATTATGCACATTTTCGCCGTAGATCAGGTCAACATGAGAGTACTGGGAACTTCCAAAATCCACATGCTCCAACCACTGGCTCGTGCCGCGCTGCGACTTGAGCCGAGCAGATTCTCTCTTGCTGAGACAGAAGGCACGTTATCACGAATCAGTTGGAAAGTAATCGCGGATGTGTTGTCATCCTAGTGCTTCCGTAAATTTGATTGGAATGTACATTCATGGATCAAGAAATTCTACCTATTTTCCAGCTGACCCTAGAAAATTAGCGATCTTAGCGAACACATCATTATGCACATTTTCGCCGTAAATCAGGTCAAAGTGCGAGTACAAGGGAACCTCCACATGCTCCAACCACCGGCTCGTGCCCAGCTGCAACTTGAGCTGAGGCGAGGCTCTCACACCGAGCCACAGGTGCACATTTCCGCGAATCACAAGCTGTTTCGTTTCATAAAATTGAAGTGTACATTCATGGCTTGTGATCCGTATACCATACTTCCATTCATAAAATTGAAACGTACATTCATACATCAGAAAATCCTGCCTATTTTCCAGCTGGCCCTAGGAAGTTAGCGACCTTGGCAAACACATCAACATGCACATTTTCACCGTAAATCAGGTCGAAATGAGAATACATCGGAACCTCCACGTGCTCCAACCACCGGCTCGTGCCGAGCTGCGACTTGAGCCGAGCCACATTGGGAGGGTCGGCAAACCAATCGTTGCTTCCGGAGATGATCAGGACCGGAATGTTGGTCGGCAAGCGGCTCGGGTAATACTGGTGGAGTGAGAGGGAGGAAGCGGGGTGGGCAAAACAATGGAAAGTTGTGTGTGTGGAGGGTGAGGGGAGGGGGGGGCGGGGGGGAAGGAGGGAGAAGGGGAGAAACAGAGTCTAGGACTGGGATGTTAGTGGTCGGGCGACTAAGGTTGTGCTGGTAGAAGGGATGATGAGGAAGCGAGGGAGAGGGGTTGTTGGTGGTTTGGGAGTGGGTTTGGGGGAACGGAGGATGGTTGCAAGAAGAACAAGCAATGTGCTTGCACAAGAGTGTGCGTACGGACGACTGTGCTTATAATGAAGGGCTCTCACCAGAGGGGGGGTGGAAGAGCCGTAGTTGGCAGTGTTGGCCTCTGCTGACAGGAAGTCCCACAGCTGAAACTGCCGGTCTCGAATCTCTGGTTATTGGGGAATAGAGGATGGTGGAGAGGGGAGGGAGGAAGGGTAATGGTTGTGAGTGAGGGGATGAGCCGTACTTGGCAGTGAGTGGTTGTGTGACAGGAAGTCCCACAGCTGAAACTGCCGATCGCGGATCTCTGATTACTGGGGAGTAGAGTGGGAAGAAGGGGAAGGGGAGGGAGAAGAAGGAAGGATAGTGGTCGTGGGTGGTGGATGGGTCACAGTTGGTGGTGTTGGCCTGTGCCGACAAGAACGCACAGCTGGAACTGCCGATCTCAATATCTCTGGTTAGCAAAGTATTCAACTCTGGTGGGGGAAGGTGGGAGGATGGGAGAGTGGGTGGGGTGGTGAAGGGGGATGGCATAGTGGATACACGAAAAGGGGATCGTTCTTGAACTGTTGAGATGAGGAAGTGGCCACGGCCACTCACTGGGGGTTGGGTTGAGGGCGACGTGACTGTTGAATTGTCTCATGCACATACTAACGACTAAAGCTTATAACGAGTACAGGTACTAACGAGTACAGGTTGCTCACGTTGCTGGTAGTGGATCAGCGCCCGGTAGAAAATAGCCACCCACTGGGGGTTGAGGCCGAGGGGAGCTGTATAACAGCTAAAAACGAGTACAAATCGCTCACCTTGCTGGTAATGGATCAGAGCCCGGTAGGAAGTAGCCACCCACTGGGGGTTGAGGGCGAGAGGCGGGGCGTAGGGATCCATGCAGCAGATGGGGCCTGCAGAGTGGGGGGGAGAGGGGGAGGGGAGAGAAAAGGGGAGAAGTGGAGAGATTGTAATAATTCTGAGAAATCGGGGGGGTGAGGAAAAGAAACAGTCACAGCTACTTCGTTAAGGAAATCGGGGGGTTGAGGAAGTACCATGCAGCAGCGTTATGCGCCATGCACCAGCCTAGAAAGGTTGACAGTACCCTGTGCTCGTGACAAGTAGCAAAAATGCCCTGTATGTGTCTGTTGATGGGTTTGTGTAGCATGGTGGTGGAATGAGAAGACGTGCTAGTTGGTGAGGAGCGTTTACCTGTGACATTACTGAGAATGTCCTGTACATTCCCCGAGGGAGTGAAAACGGTGTAGAAGTTAAAGCCCACACGGCGAAGAGTCGAGACGAGAACCTCCGTTCTGTGTTGAACGAAAAAAAGAGGGGGGGGGGGGGGGAAACAGCGAGGGCGTATGAGATGAGAAGAGGAGAGAGCGATTCGATGTTATAAGGGTTTGTGGAACGGTAAGAACATCAAATCTGAGCAGTAAGGAAGAAAACACAATGAGAAAATCACGCCGATCTAGTTAATGGTAACTCACGCTGTGAGGTTGTAAGCTCCATTGAGCAAATGGTTCTGGTAAAAGAACTGCAGACAGGTAGAGGAACAAGAAAGAGAAGGGAAGAAAGAGCGATTGTTGGGTCGACTCAGAAATCGGTTCACGCTGTGAGGTTGTAAGGTCCATTGAGTATGTGGTTCTGGTAAAATAACTGCAGGGACAATCAGGGCAGTGATCAGAGAAAAACAGACAAAGGGAAAGGGAAAACGGAAAGAGAAAGTTCGTGAGGGGACGGAAGAGAGGAAGTTGGTGAGAATTCTCACAAGTAAAAACTCAACATCGAGAGAGCACTCACGATATCGGGGCTCCAGTTGTTGGTCCATGCGTCGAGCACAGGGGAGGTGATGTTGACTAAATAAGCGATGGGAGCAACGGCAGTGACAGAGGCGGCGGATAGACAGGGAGAGAGCATGCAACGGGGTGATGTGCGTGGCAGAAAGAAACAGCACAGCAAGGCACTCACGATGTCGGGGCTCCAGTTGTTGGCCCAGGCGTCCAGCACAGGGGAGGTGATGTTGACGAGGTAGGCAATGGGAGAAATGGCAGCAGCTACCAAGGCAGCAGTGCATGTGGCAGTAACTGTGTGTGACACTAACAGCAGCCACACAGAAAGGAAAATGGAACTCACGATGTCCGGGCTCCAGTTGTTGGCCCAGGCGTCTAGCACAGGGGAGGTGATGTTGACTAGATAGGCGATGGGAGCAACGGCAGTGACTGAAGCGATGGTCTGGCGGGTGTATTCAGGGTAGGTGGATGCGAGGGCGAAGGGGAGCATGGCGCCCTGATGGGGTGGGAGGGGGGAGGGAATGGGGAGGGGTGGGGTGGGGTGGGGTAGTGTGGAAATCTAAGCGACGGTGCACTTTGGGAGAGGCGGTGATGGTGATGATGGTGGTGATGACTCAGAAAGGCAGGCAATGAGTGGGTGGGGCAGAGCAGGCAGGCAATGAGTGGGTGGGGCAGAGCAGGCAGGCAAATCCCACTGGCAGATCGTACTAGGCGTCGCCCACCCACCTGGTTGTACCCCACGAGGTGCACCTTTCGGGGAGGCGGTTACAGAGGAGATTACTCGTAGCACAGCAGGCAGTCAGCAGTGAGACAGAGTGGTGCACGGCAGGCAGGCAGTGAGTGGGGCTGCTGGGGTTTAGCAGCAGGGGCAGGTTGCAGCAGTAGGGGCATGTCGCACCCACCTGGTTGTACCCCACGAGGTGCACTTTGGGGGAGGCGGTGACGGTGGTGATGACTCGCAGCACAGCAGGCAGGTCGAACTGCACCAGCTGGTCGAAGTCCCAGTCCCAGTATTGCTGTGGTGGGGCATCGTTGAGAGGGGTGGAGATGGGTGGGGATGAGTGGAGAGGGATGGGGATGGCTTGATGGGTGGGGAGGGATGGCACAAGACTGGCTGGAAGGCAGGTCGAACTGCACCAGCTGGTCCAAGTCCCAGTCCCAGTATTGCTGTGGTGGGGCATGGTTGTGAGGGATGGGGATGGGTGGAGAGGAATGACATGGTACGAAGTGTGGCAGGCAGGTCAAACTGAACCAGCTGGTCCAAGTCCTGGCCGCGGAATTGCTGGAGAGGGAAACATGGTGTGAAACACTAGAAGGAACGGAAAGGAGGATCAGGAAGGGAGAACACAACGGAGAAACAGGAGGCAGGGTAACTGGTAACTGGTAGGCAGGGGAACAGCCAGCTATTACTGTCAGTCAGTCACTTGGTGCAGCCATCACGCTCCCACCCACTTACCCATAGCTCCGTGGTGTAGGTGACGTGGCGGGGGGAGTACTCGGTGCAGCGGTGGTTAACCACCCACACGTCCACACAAGGGTCAATTAATAAGGGAGCAGACGAACAACTAGCAATTAACCCCACTCTCCAACTCACCCACTGCTCAGTCGTGTAGGTGACGTGGCGGGGGGAGTACTCGGTGCAGCGGTGGTTAACCACCCACACGTCCATGCATCTGTTCGCTAGAATCACAGGCAGCCTCCTCTGCCCCCCCCCCCCCCCCCCCCCCCCCCTCCCCCAACTCACCCACTGCTCGGTCGTAAAAGTCACGTGGCGGGGAGAATACTCAGTGCAGCGGTGGTTAACCACCCACGAGGGGGCAGGCACACAACAAGCTATCATTCCCACTCACGCTCCCAACGACTCACCCACTGCTCCGTGGTGTAGGTGACGTGACGAGGGGAATACTCGGTGCAGCGGTGGTTAACCACCCA